AGTTCCGTCTTTCATCGAAATACAAGAGAAATGCTGTATATATACTGTATACAGTATATACAATATACATGCAAATAGTACACTGAAAAAAGAAGTAAAACAATATAAATATACTTCCATAATGATGATAAAGATAGTATAACTTTATTTCGCCATAATACGTACAAAATAATCACAARAAGTATATCTGTAACAGTCAAATCACCGGAAAAAAGCGATTCGAGCAGCAATTGTCACGCAATATCACGACCAATAATAAGTGACCSTAAATAGACCGCTGGTATTTATAAAATGTACTGGAACAGAGCGATTCTCTGAGGACCCTCTGAGAGGAGAAGAGATCAGCAGTTGTCACGTAATACACTGTACCATGACCGATGATAAGTGGTCATAAGTAGACCGCTGTTAAATACTTATTACATTGTTGGAAGTATGCATTGCTTTCCATTTATTAAACTACAGTACCGCATCTGAATCAAAAAGAATGGTGAGCATTTCCGTTTAATCKCACTAGTTACCTAGTAACAGCAGATATTTCCGAACTGAAACTAAAAGAATGTTAAGCATTTCCGTTAGATCACCTAGTTACCTAGTTACCGCAGATATTTCCGAACTGAACCTAAAAGAATGTTAAGCATTTCCGTTAAATCACCTAAGTAACCGCAGATATTACCGTAACTGAATCTAAAAGAATGTTAAGCATTTCCGCTCGAACCTCTCACTGCCTGGTCATTTGCCGGAAGTCTCGATTCTTTCCTGGTATGTATTGTCTCTATAAAAGGTTCACCACAGTGATCCTAGCTTTAGTGCGTACAACTGGTCCATGCAACTCTGTCACGAAGCTCTCGCTCTTGAACACGGATTTTAAGGTACGTTATTTTGGCAATGGACCTCATTTTTTGTTCCGTTGATTCTTTCTAAATTCCGAATGCTTTCATAGAAACGCTCAAAATGAAAAGGTCGAACAGAACAGACGGCGCTAATTACTTCTTGCAGCCACGAATAAGGTTTACCCGTGGATCCTTCTGGTATCCCGTGCACCCAGAAGCGGAGGTAAGCGTTCATAATTTGAATTGCGTGATCAAGATGTGTTTTCCCAGTCTCTTTAATCACATAGCTAACATAAACGTTTCATACTCATTTGACAATAATAATATCATTGTTTGTCTGACAGATCCTAAAGAAAGCCAAACTGGTGAAGACAAGACAAGAAACCGACGTAGAGAACCGATCGAAAGGCACACAGACACAGGAGACTTGTTTAAACCGCGTGGGTTTTGCAGAAAGTATAAATAAACCATAAGTTCTTACCAAACAAAAGAAAATTGTATGTTACCTGGGAGGTTCGCATATTTACTATAAAATAAATGCCCACAAATCTCGACATCACATGTCTTTATAGAATCTTACGAAAATGTTTACAAAATGTATCTCTGAACCAAGTTACTTAGACGAGCTCCGACGACTCCATCTCGAGAAGGAAACTTTGTCCGTCTGGGCAAAGAATCAGGAAATGTTATTTCGTAATCAATACGCCTTGTTACACAACGAGCTTTTGCAAAYCAAAGAGAGGTTGAAGAAAACAGAAAAGGAGTTGAGTTCATTGAAAGAAAGTCTTGCTAAGATGAAAAACTCCAAGCATTCGTACTGGTCCATGACAAAAAGCGCCMGGTTAAAACGACGAAAAAAGGTGGCAGAGGTGATGAGTACAGCTGCGGAAAGGCTTCCAAACGATTTTGTACCAATCGAGATTCGATTTTGTACCAATCGAGTGTAGATTGTTAATAAATAACCGTATAGAAGGTATAATGACACATAATTGTGCATGTGTGTGTATTTTATGAGTAACAGTAAAGTTCAATAGTTTTACATTTGATTAACAGGTCAAATTTCGCGTTGAAGATCAAGATCTAATTATTCCTTTGCATTCYGCGGCAAGACAACTAGATGATGAAGAAAGTGACGAAGGAGACCTCGAACAAAATGATGAACTTGTTCGTAGAGTATTAGCAGCCAAAGATAAAGGTTTCATTAGTGACGAGGCATACTATGAGTTGAGGTATATATTTCAATTACCGTGCTATCATATAGTTACGTTTGCACAAAGTGTTAACGTCACGATCGGCATGACCAATATTGTTTACTCTGTTAGGTCCAACATTTTCCTTTTTGTCATTACAGGATGGCACACGATACGGAAACACGAGACAAACTTCCCTGCCTGAACCAAATC